TATATAAAAATTATGAAATATATTAAAATATTATATAAAAAAATTATTTATATAACATCTCTATAAAATAATAATAAACTTCACTTTATGCCGTGCCTCATTACAATTTTCCCAAAGCTAACAGTCTCTACATTATAGGACAAAATTTTTTCATAATTTATCACCTAGCCCCAAAAGGATAAAGGAAGAACGAAAGAAAAGAGTCACCTTTTAGGCTTTTACAGCATCCTCTCCTATTTTCTCAAATAAGGACAATGATCTAAAAAGAAACTATCATATAAAAGTATCCGGATTTACTCATGCAAGGCTATCTATATATTGGTAATATATATACAAATTACTTGTACAATTTTTTATTAAAATTTTATTACTTTTTATTAAATAAATATATAATATTATGAGTTTTATAATAAAAAAATTAATTATTAAATAATATATAAAATCGTATAAAATTAAATTAAATTAAATTGTTTCTTAATCATTTTTCCTAAATATTTTATTCAACGGTAGCGGACCGTCTCTTAGCAATAAATGAATCCCTAATCTGCTAGTATATAAATATGGACAATCCAGAGGACAAAAGCATCAACACGTGTTTCTTTTGTTCTCTCTAAAGCCCAAGAAGCACATATCCACTTATAGAGAGAGAAAAAAAAAAAAGAACTCTCCTTATGAAAATGTTTTGTTCCTCTATAACCAGCTTTCTGCTATTCCTTTCTTCTTTTGGTGTCCTCTTCAGTACAACAATCGCTTTGGTGAAGCTGCCTCCGAATGAAACTGTGCCGGCAGTTATCGTCTTCGGGGATTCCATCGTTGACGCCGGGAACAACAACCATATCACCACGGTGATCAAATGCGACTTCCCTCCTTACGGGCGAGATTTCAAGGGTGGAATCCCCACAGGAAGGTTTTCCAATGGAAAAATTCCCTCTGACTTGATAGGTATATGTATATATATATAAATTAACAATATATGTCTCTTTTTCTCTGTTTTCTCTGTTAAGTGAAGAGAAAGATCATGAAATCAAGAAATTAAAATTGCAGTCCAATTTTCAATATAATAGAGTTAATTTGATCCCCACCTCATACGAATGCTACCCTTCTTGGGTAGGATCCGGTGGCAGCGTGTGTTCAAGTCCCACCCTCCTCCATTCCCCTAATATTTCTTTTTGGACATTCAAACCTTTATCATAATAATGTGATATCCTCTTTAAAGAGAGATTTGCCAGTTATGCTATATATCAAGACTGGCCCTGCCTAAAAAAGAATTTAATTGCCCTATCTTTTTCTTTTTTTTTTAATTATTAGGATGTTAACGTGTCTTAATTTCTCTTTATTGTTTTTTAGTTTATTTTGATAAGAAATTATACAGTAAAAGATATTCATATCTTTTTTAAATATTTCCGATTATTAGTTTCGGAGTTTGTTTAATTTGGTGAAAAGTAAATATAAGGAGAGGGGATGAGCAAGACTATATTATAAAATCAAATTATGATATTGGTCTAATGAATTAATTTAATTGATGGGAATTGTCTCGTCTCCTCTCCCCTTTCCTCAAACTTATAATAGTTTCTAAAGTTGAAACATTTTGATACCTAGGTCATTATATCTCCTCTACTAGCCAGGAAAAACCATTTAAGCTTGTGGGGATATATTAGGCTCGACATTTTTGTGAATTAGACTAGAAAATAAAATAATAAAAAAATCTTTTTCAATGAAAATGATTGGTCTCCTGTGATAATGAAATAATAATTACGATATTTTATTAATAGTTTCTCTTCTTTTCGATATCTCACAGAATGGGACTTTTTGGACACTGACTTAAACTCATGTATTGGGTTAGCTTAACTTTTGACAATTCTTGATATTATGTTGAATTTTCTTATTATTTTCTAATTTACAGTGGATACATAATTTTAATTCTCAAGCTCCGAATTGTTCCATTCATTATAACAAGTCAAATAAAAGCCTTAAAACTTTTTTTTTTTTAATGTATATATCTATCCAGCTGAAGAACTGGGAATTAGAGACTTTATTCCAGCCTACCTGGATCCAACACTGCAACCTGAGGATCTCCTAACCGGTGTAACCTTTGCTTCTGGCGGAACTGGATATGATCCTCTCACACCAAAATTAGCGGTATATATTTCATTTGATGATTTATTTATTATTTTTGTTTTAGCTGTTAGGATGTCCTCAAACAGATCAGTTTGTATGCATTTTAAAATCAATTCCTCTTTGATCTAGTTAAAAGTCAGTCATTCATATCAAAATTAAAGAATTTATAAAAAATTATCTTTTTATTATCCTCTCCAAGAATCAAATTTTAGTCAATAAAGTGAAGAGTAAATTCTTTTATCAATTAAACCATATGGCTATTGGTTCATTTAATTTAATATTAATGTCCACATTACAAATGCATGCATCCAATTTATGTTTTTCTCCGTATACTGAATCCTCTTTTCTAATTAATTACCAATGTTTGTCCGGATTGAAACCTCAGTCAGTTATATCGCTATCGAAGCAGTTAGATTACTTTAAAGAATACATAGCTAAGCTGAAAGGTCTTGTTGGAGAAGAAAAAACAAACTTCATCTTGGCCAAGAGCGTGTATCTTTTGGTATCCGGAAGCGATGACATTGCCAACACCTATTTTGTACTCCGGGCTCGGAAACTGCAGTATGATGTTCCTGCTTACACCGATCTTATGGTTAATTCCGCTTCCGAGTTTCTCAAGGTAATTAGTTAATTAATCTCCATGCCATCAAAATAGTTACGTTAAGGAAAGGACAGACAATTAGTGCTGATCTTTAAAAGTTATTTCCTTTGTTTTAAAATATTAGAAAATATAGCTTGGTTCGATTTTTTTTAATGTATAATTTTAGGTAATATTTTTTTTTATAATATATGAATAATAATTGAAAATTTTTTAATACATAATTTTTATTGAAAAGTTTTATTTAATTAAAAAAATTAATTATTATTTATATACTATAAAAAAATATTACTTAAAATTATGTGTACAAAAATTCCAATGCCTTATATTTTGAAATAGAGGGTGTATTGGACTATTATAAACAAATAAATTGTTTAAGAGTGATGATAATCACTATTTTCACAAAGTTTAAGGACCAATATTTTTTTAAGAACAATGATTGGTACACACCCGGATCCAACACCCAGATGTGCACCCTCCACATAAAAAAAAATTGAACTGGGTAATGAGTATTTTTTTTCTTTTATATGATGTGTGCACACCTGGGTGTTGGATCCAGGTGTGCACACATCATTTTCCTTTTTTTTAATTTGTTTAAAATAAAAAAGCTAAAGATTCTTTGGGTCTAATGGCTTGCCATGCGCTTTTGTGGGAACAGGATCTGTATTGAATGTTTGAGTTCTCGGATTCTCCCTTT